CGTCAATTTATGCGAAACCTGAATGTGGTTTCGTACCAAACTGCAAAAAGGTTCCGTACGAAAGTCATTAGATTGTTTTGCAGTTTTGTACGAAACCACATTCAGGTTTCGCATAAATTGACGAAACTATTTAAGGTTTCGTACGTCATTACAGAACGATTTAGAGTTTAATAGGTTTTAGTCAAACCATTTTAGGTTTCGTAGACCAAAAGGTTTCTACATTTGAAACGAATTCGAAATCTCAAGCAGAAAAAGGTTTCGTTAGGAATCATTTTTTTTAGAGTGTAGAGATGGATGAAATTCTTTTAGTCAAATAACAATTCGACAAATACTTACAGTGTACATGAACGTCGTATGCGAGAGTTTTCATCGTGTTCACCTATAACACCCTCCTCTTCCTCTTCTCCCATTCCATCGATATTATCTTCCTCCGCAAGCTCATTTTCATTTGTTACTGTCGAGTTATCAACAATATTTTGAATACTGGATGTTGTTGTTGATGTAAGTGACGTGGACTGAGTTGTTCCAATTGATTGTTCAACCGTTGATGTTGTTTCTACCTGCTCTTCCGTGATCAAGACAGAATTTGGTTCAGTTTGTTCATCAACATCAATTTCAATATCAACCTCTTCTGATGATGTTTCAGGATCACCAGTTTCTAAGAGATTATTATCATTCTTTATTGGTTGAGTATAATTAGTGATGCTTTCAAGAGGATCAAATTGAATGTCCGATTCTGTTGAATTATTAGTCAACGTATCATTAAAATCCAATATGTTGGGAACACCTCTCATTCGAAATTTTAATCGAAATCCATCTGGATATGACGGCTGTGTTGCATTATAACTAAATTCAGGGGGTATTAATGATTCTAAAATAGTAAGAAAACATGTATCACAAGGAGTAAGGTAGTATTATCAGCACGTTTAGCACTTTATGGAATTACAGTGATATTCAACTTACTTTCGTCATTTGATGTTGTTGGTGTTAAAGTTGAATAAAGTTGACAATTTTGATCGGCATTTTTTAATTTTTCAATATTGTTAAAATTAATCAATGTTCCATCAATATTTACATCTCCAATACAACCAATTAATTTTTGTAAATTTTTATTTGTTAGTGTTATTTCACTTGGTGATGATATTACTGGTAGTCCACCTATAAACACCGAATTATATTGATGAAATTGATATCGATCATTTCCCAATTGTTGTTCATATGATCCACATTCTACATCATTTAAAAATAGAGTATACTGTTGTTGATTTCGATGTAAACTAATATAATTCCATCCTGATTTTGCTAATGGTGTAGTACATTTAACTTGTACTAAACTTATTGTTGGTAGTAGCAGGTGTCGAACAATAATATGTCCATTTTCAATTGTTAATGATAAATAATCATTATCCGTATTATGAAAATAAATTAATGTTCCATTTTGATCTTGTATTCGAACACGTAATGTTATTGCCCATGGTATTGTTAAATTTTTTGCACCAATTTGAGCATACTGTTCCTGATAAACATAACCAAATTGAATTGTACGAACAATTTGTTCAGTAGTACATGTTTTTTCAACATTTTCCATTTTTTTAAAATATTCTGTTGATTTTAATGTTAATTCAATTCGATCAATATGAATTGATTGTATACAACCACTGAAACCACGATTTGTCACTGATTCACGTACTGAATCTTGTCCAAGATATTTACCAACATATAAATCTTCATTACTATCAATTCGTGACTCTTCATCACGATCATGAGCTATAACGGCTTGATTATCATCTAATTGAATTGTTAATTCCGAACCAAGTTTTTTCACATGTAAACGATGTGGTCTATTATCATGTACACTTTGTACTAGACGAACATTAACTAGACCACTACCTGTATTCATCAATATTTCGGGATGTGTATCAATTATTTGTACGGCAAAAAAACGTTTTTCTATACCACCGTAAGCTAATAGAAGACCAGTTGGTGAATTAGTTTTAAATATAATTGTTAAAGTAAATGATTGTTCTAATTTTCTCAATCGTCTCTTTGAAAAGAGAACATAACCATTGCCATTCATTGAAATACCTGGAATAGCTTCACGATTCGAAAGTGAATGTGTTACACCTTGATTATGATTTGTTGACGTTTCAAAATTCCATAAACTTATAGGTTGATCATTAAAACGAACATCAGATATTGAACCAGCAAATGGCTGATAATATTGGGAGATTGATACTAAAAAAAATATTTAATCAAAATAACAATGGAGTAATAATATTGAGAAAAAGAAAATATCTACCTTGAGTAGGTACACCACCAATTAATAAAACCGATCTATTTGGATGAAGATCAAGTAATGATAAACCCGACTGAGCATCACTTGCACCCGTAAAAATATCAGTTCCATTCGCATCCATAACTGTTAATTGACCATGAGGACCATATCGTTCAACTGTAACATCGTACCATTGATTATCAATAAATTGTTGTGATGAGACAATATTCGATGGTTCACCAAAGCCAAGATCATAATTAAATTCAAGTTGTCCATGTTCATTTAATTTTAATGCCATATAATTTGGTTTGGAATCTAATTCATTATTTGCTTCATTACCCACGTAAGCTAAAAGACCATTTGGTTCTCGGGTACGAAATGATAATGATAATTTTGAATGGATATTAGCTTCTTTAAAACTCGATGGTTTATGTAGACTAACACCAGTACTACGATTAAATGATGCACCAACTCGGACAGCACTAACAATCGAACGTGATTCTTCAATCAATTTATGTATTTCATTAACAATATCAAAAATATCTTCCTGTAATTTTACCTAAAATATATAAAATTTTGTGTAATAATTCTTTTTCAACATTTCTATACTAAACTTACTGTTTGATCATATGTATATTTGGCTGTACTCAATTGTTCATCAGCTGTTGCTTCCCAATTTTTCATTTTTAATATTGTATCCTCAGTATCACGAAATTCCATTTGTAATGGTTTATCACTCAATTTCGATGAATTCATTGGTTTTTCTGCTAATATTTTTTCTTTTAATGTTTCAAATTCAGCTTTTCTTCGTTCACTTTCTTCATAAATTCGATTTGAATCTGGTTCTAGATAAAAAAAGCCAACAATTTATTTTTCCTTAACAAATACTACGATGGATGCCAAAATAGAATTCATTCTACAATCTTTTTGAGTAACTTCTGATTGGTAGATAATTGATGGAAATGCAATTTTTATCATTCACCAGAGAAAATTTAAGAACATCGTTTTAGAAAAGATCGACTTTTCATCTATGAGATTAAGTTTACTGATGATCTACTTTAGATGAAATGACTGAATTTAGGCTCTTTTCATACTGAACTGAATAATTCATAGCAAATTCGAAATTAATTCAAAATACTTCAGAATAACGCGACTTCAGTTGTATGAACCAACGAAAATGCTTTAGATCTTCTTATAGAATTTTCTGAAAATTCAAAAAAAAACATTTATTTTTTCGAATTTTGAACCATACATTGTATGAAGTTCCTAAAGTTTTCTATTTTACAACATAAAGTAAAGTTTCATTAGAATTTTTGAACTTTTGAATAACAACAAACATTGTCACGAGACTCAGCATAGCCACTGTTTCACTTATATCTAATATTCTCGCAGATCATATCACACGAGACCTATGAGTGTCTGCAGGATTCAATGCAGGACTAGATGAGTTCGAGTTCGGGCTGAAAGATTTTTTTGGTGGGCTTGGACTGGTGACTTTTTTGAAGAACCCGGATTTTTTCAATATTAGTATAGGATATATTGACGCACATGTATTACTCTCTTTAAAAATTACTCTTAAAAAATATGCTATACGGCCGGCACAGGAGAAAAAAGAAATTTAAATAATGACAACGAAAAAAATTTGAAAAAATTATTGGACTCAAAATGGACTCAGGACTCCGATTTTCGACTGTATTTCAAGGACTCAGCCTGTGTGCTCTCTTCATGACTTAGTATCCTACCGGACTCGCTCAGCCCTAATTCAATGTCACATGTAAATGAAGAGTCTCGATGACTTTCATTTTTTAGAATATACTTCCAGCTATATCTGTCCATATGAGAAAAAATCAAACACAAATACATGACTACTATCTGTTCCAAAATACAAGGCAGGCGGTTGCTTTTTGAGTAGCTTTTGATAGAAGATAGATAGAGACCTGCGGTTTTCACTATTCGATACCCAAGACCTGTACGCATCTTTCTACAAGCAAAAACGATTTTTGAAAAAGATTCAAAGATCGGATTTTGAGCAGATCTTTGGAAAACCACTTTGGATCTCTGAGTGCTGACATAGAAATAGGTCGACCTTTCTTCATAGGTAGATAGTCCAAAGTGTCCTCTACAAAATGGGTACTAAGCAAAGCCTTTATTTTGTTAGTAGTCTAAATATGAAAGTTTAAATGGTTTTTCAATTACTTCTACATCTGTCAACACAAATTTCTGAATTCATTTTTTTTCTTCTAGAACAACGCTCTCAAATTTTAATTATCGAATGTCCGTTCTTCATCATGTATCTATCAAAATCTATTTTTGAAATGTATGTATGATTATAGTTTATGTTCTCACCTAAATTATCAGCCGTCTGTTTTAATTCATCAATTCTTAATTTATACGATGGTAATTGTTTTTCACTTGTTTCCAATGAACGTGAATAAACAGTTGCTGAACGATTTATTTTATCAATACGATCATTATAATGATTATTTGTTGAAACTAATTGTTGTTGTTCAATATTATTCATCATTAAATTATTTGTATCTTGATGATGATGTTGTACAAGATTTTCTACAATTAAATTTGTTTGATTTATTTTTTGTTGTACATGTAAATAAGTATCCGTTAAATTTTTATTTAAATCTGTTGTTGTTTTATCAAGTGAATTAACACTGTCAATAATATTTTTAAATACAAATATTCGATATAATGTATAATTTGTTTGACGTTTCATATTATCATATAAAACTTGTAAATAATTTGATGTTTCACTTATATTTCGTACATGATCATAAATTTTTCTTATATTTGTTCTTACACGATTATTATCCGTTGTAATATCATTTAATTTTGAATTTAAATTATTCATACTTTGATTAATTTGTTGATAATTTATTGTTGTTAATTTAAATGTATTTTGTAAATCATTATATAAATCATTCATATCATTTTTTATTGTTGTTATATTAATTAATTTTGTATCAGATGTATTTTTTAATGTTAAACTTTGTTTTAATTTTGTTTTCATTAATGATATTTCATCAAATATTTGTAATTGATTATTAATACGATTTAATTTATCATTAGCATTATTTGTTAATTTTTCCATTTGTTTTGTACGTTGTTCAAATTCTATTGTTTGATTTTGTAATTGATTTATATTATTCATTGTTTCTTGTAAATCATATTCAATTAATTTAACATTATCATGAAATAAATCAATTTGTATTGTATAATTATCAATTGTATCTTGTTCATTATCAATTTGAAATTGATCCATTATTTGTTGAACACTATCTATAAGATGTATAACATAGGTTGGATCATCATCACCATGTTGTGTTAAATTTGTTGAAAATACATCAATATCATCAGCAAAATCTTCTAAGAATTCTACTTGTTCTTTAACTCTATCATGTTCATATTCAGCTTTTGACATTAAACTTTTTACTTGATCTTGTTCATAATTAACATCAATTAAAATTTGTTTAAAATATGTATCAATACTATTTAATGTTTGTGTTAAATTTTTTGTATGCTCATTTAAACAAAATACATTGGCAGGATAAGATAATGATAATTGATCATATTCACATCGAGTTTTTAATGTACTATTATTAGCTAAATTACGATAATTATTTGCACGTAATTTCATTTTTTCAACTCTTTCCGATGCTGTACGTCCTTGAGTTATTTTATTTGCATTATCAATTGTTTTATTTAAATTTATTCTTAATTGATCAACATCATCAATTAATTGTCGAGAACACCAACCTTCTGGTACAATATTCGATTTATCACATGGTAAACATCCACGTCCTATCAAAAGTTATATGTATTATTTTAATTATGTTAATTTGATAAAAATAAAATTTTACCTTCAACAATTGTATAATATTCTTCGCATTGATCACATCGTTCACCTCTAACACCTTCAATACAAAAACATTTACCCGTGTTTGCATCACAACTTAATCCCGTATTTGTTAAATGTCGTATTGTACCAAATCGATCACATTGACATTGTTTACAACCATCAATTGTTAAATCCCAATAACCAGTCATACATACATCACATTTTCTACCAGTAACACCCGGTTTACATTGACATTGACCAGTGTACGTATCACATGTAAGATCTTTTGCACCCACAGCACAATCACATGTTTTACAACCATCACATAAATGATAACCATAATGATTTTCTAAACATTGATCACTAAAAAAGTATATAATAAGTATAGATAAAATGAAGTTTTACAATATACAAAAAACATCTTACCATCTTGGACCTGTCACACCTTGTTTACATGAACATCGTCCTGTTTGACCATCACATCTATTTGAACCACATTGTGCACATTGACATTGTTGACAACTTTTTGCTCGTAATGCATCACCATAAAACCAATCACGACATCGTTCACAATGATCTCCAGCTGTATTATTTAAACAACTAATACATTTGCCCGTTTTTTGATCACACGCATTCCAATCATATAAATCAATATTACCATTACATTCACATAATGTACAACGACTACCTTGTCTACTTGGTTCTCCCCAATAGGCTATAAAAAATTCAAAGTATACATCAATTATTAAAGAAAGATTTCTATAAAATATACCTGGATAACAGGATTGACAACGGTCGCCATAATATCCTTGTTGACAAAAACATCGTGTTGTTTCACCTTGTAACGCATTCATTTCACACGAACTAGCAAAATTATTTGATTCCAATGACAGGGGACAAGCACATATTCTACATGGTATCTGACGTGTTGGATCGCCATTATAACCTGTACGACATGTATCACAATAACTACCAGCTGTATTATTTCGACAATATAAACATTTTCCTGTTTCAATATCACACGTGTCACTATAGCCATTACAATTACATGGTATACATATCCAATTGTTCAATCCTTGATACTGTTTATAGAATCCTCTGGCACACGTTTCACACGATAAACCGGCGTAGTTTGGTGGACAAGCGCAAACCTCAACGCTTTTTGCTTGTCGAGTACCATTTGTTATCGATTTTGGATCTGCGTGATGTAGTTGAACAGCCGCAACCGTCGTTGATGTCATAGATGGATTATAGCCTGCAAGAATGTATGAATTTGTTATATTACTCAATACTTGAATAAATGTTTCACGTGTAATCGGTGATGATCCACTTCCACCACCTCGTACTTGATATTTAAAATACAATTCTTTTAACGGTACAATAATGTCCTCATCACGATTTGATTGAATGGGTCTTGGATGAAAATATGCTATTGTCAGATCTCTGCCACGTAATAGGACTAGTGGTTTTGTTAATGATCGATTTTGAACGGGACTATTGGTAGCATAATTAATTTTAAATGTCAAATTTCCACCATAAGTTAATATTTTATTACCTAAATATAATCTTGGTGCAATCCAGTACAATGGATCATCATCCGTTGTTGGAATAACTCCGTCGGAAGGTGTAGCATACAGTGTTAAACGACCATCTTTTCGATCATGACGAAGGGCCGGATTTGTTAAAGTCCAATCAGACATATTACGTATTATACGATAGGAAAACTGTGCACCTCGACAATTATTCGTTGTACCAAAACAATAACATTTTGTACAACCTTTTGGATTATCATCTTGCAAAGCAAATGTTGCCGGTTTACATTGATCACATCGTGGTCCATAGACATTTTCTTTACACAAGCAAGTTCCTGTATAAGGATCGCAGATACTGTCAACAGTACCGGCTTGATCACAATCACATTTCATACAATGGGGGTAATTGAAATGACCAGAAGCACAGTGATCACATGTGCGTCCTGCAACATTTTCTCGGCAATAACACTGGCCATTTTTTAAAGCGCAATCCATTCGTTGACTAACAACACCTTCAATACGGCACTGACAATCTTCACAACCTAACAATGGGTCTAGCAAACAGAAAGCACCTTGATTATTTCTAGTATGCAAGATGCTACTTAAGACACTTACCAAAACCGTACGTATTTACTGCACATTGATCACAGTTTCGACCGGTTACCCTTGGCGGACAAATACAGTCTCCCGTTTGTTGATTACATATTTTACTTGGACAACTACAAGGTCGACAATCGGGAAAACCCCAATAACCAGTAGCACCTATACAAAAATAGAAACATGATTACTAGAGTAATTGAAATTCAATCCATTCTTACTTACATAAAGAGCAACGTCTTCCAATAATATTTGATTTACAACTACATTGTCCACCGTATTGATCACACGTAAAATTTTTTGAACCAATTGGGTCACAAAGGCATGGCAATGCTCGTTCATTAAATGTTGCTGATAATGAAACAAGTGCTTGACGACAAAATGTATTTGAATTTGAATTTGAATCAAATTTAATATCATAATTATTTTTCGATAAACATTGTTTAACGAATTGTGATGCACGATCAGATGACGGTGATGTGGATGCTAAACGTGTTTCCTGTTGTTTATCGTCTATTTTTTGTACGGTAATATAATCAATAAAGATTGATTGATTTGGATTTATAGCTAAATAGGCGGTAAATTCAGGTTCATTTAATCGAATTGAATTTGAACCATTTTGTAAGGTTATTATTTGATTGCAACCTTGCGGTCGTTGACAAAGTGAAGCACGAATTTCGCCAATTTGACTATCACCACTTCGACTATAGAAAATGATGTTGACTGGAACAATTGAATGTTCGGTTTGAAAATAATGAATTGTCAGCATATAATTATTGGGAAAATCAGTTGCATCGACTTGTTCATTGTTCAGTCGACCGTAGACATAAATATTGGGCATTGTTGAATTTAAAGGCACCACAAATACGGGAGCACTCACATTATTCACAACCAATTGATCTGCACCAGGAAACTGATTTGTTTTCAGATGTTGGTTATAATAATCTTCAGCTTCGAATTTCATTATGTTCTGCCCATTTGTTACTTCACCACATGGTGTATCATCCTCTCTAACACACGAAAATTGTGGTTTTAATAACTCATATGTGAATTGTGTGATCGGTATAGCAGTAATACTTTGAATAGCAATTGGACCGGTTGATTCTTGATTTGTAACATGGATAATTACTGTGGCTCGTCCATCGTTCGTCATTGATAATATTTTTGGTTTTCGGATGTTTGTCTGTGTAACAATCTGACGGCAAATAAAACTATACGAACAATAAGAAAAATAAATTTCGGCTTTGTTATCGATCGAAGCTGAATTCATGACTTGTACTTGAGCATGACTATTTTCAGCATCTAGTGTATGATAATCAACAACGATATAGTACAGACCAGGCGTCGGTATTTGTAGATCATATCGATAATCTCTTCCACGTTCGATACTCGTCAACGAATCAACACCCAGTCGTTGTAGTGTATTAGTATCGACACTTTCGACCGGACTATTTTGTCCATATGAATGTGTTTGTGTTGTAGTAGGCATACCGTATAAAGTCGGATAACGATAATGATAACATTCTTCTTCATCGTCTATTTCACATGGTCTGTCTGGTGAACCATCATTTTGTTGAAGTGCATTGGCTTCTACATATTCTATGGGTATAAATAAAACGTAATCGATAAATATTGGATCATTTGTACGGAGTGTTAAAATATAATCATTCATCGGTGCACTTTCCGATGTTAATAAACCACCGGCTTGAAACGATGGTTCTTCATTGTATGGAATATCAATATCAAAATTCTGTGCATTACTAAGTGGATTTACAAAACGCGAGACAAATTTCACATGTAATTGAGGCGTTTTAAAGTCAATGCTGTTTGCATCTGTTTGTTGTTGATCAGTTTTATATGAACGATAATGAATAAGAAAACGGTATGCAGTCGGCTTTGGTAATTGAACGCTTACTTGAACTTCTGGTTGTAAAGCAGAAAATTTTGCGTAACCTTTCCATGAATAATTTTTATATTCATTTGAATCAAATTCATATCGCGCGGCCGAACCAACTGGTGTAACACCATCTTCCACCTCATATCGAAACTGATGTAATGTTGCAAAGTAATGATTATCAGCCGGAGTATTACATTCCCGACCGACAATATTTGGACGACATGAACACTGTCCGGTTTCTTTATCGCAAACAGAAGAAAGAGCACCGCCTAGTGAACAACGACATGGCTCACAGCCAAATGGATCTTCTTTTTTGAGAGAAAAATATCCATCAGCACATTGATCACAACGTTGTCCTTGAGTAGTTATTTTACATGGACACTGTCCATTTGTTTGATCACATACATTTAATATGCCAAGAGTGCCAGCTTCGCTGCAATCGCATGACTCACAACCTTTTAAAATTAAAAATTAAATCAACCTAACAAAAAGCAGTTTATAAGTGATCTTCCATGATCATTCGTCAATTTAAATATTCTTATACTGCTATTTTATACTGAATTACCTAATGGATTAGCCGTTCGCATATTCCAATGACCTTCTTTACATCTGTCACACTGTCTTCCTTCGACATTTGCTTTACACAGACACAAAACACCTGGAATATTATGTCTTCCACAACCGGAAAAATCATTTCGAACACCGGCTGGTACACATTTGCCTAAACAGTAATATGTTTTATATCAATTTATTAGTGTTTTAATTTTTTCTATAATTACTCACATTCTTCGCAGTATGGAAAATTGAAGAGACCTTTGAAAATAAGAATAATTTAGTTGGTTTAAACATTTCACTCCGTTTACTGAGAAGCAATATGATACCTAGTCTACATTCTTGACATTTATCGCCCGCATAATTTGATTTACAGATACATTGTCCTGTTGATTGTTGACAACTAACGCCTAACGCACCATGAGGATCGCATGAACAAGGGATACATGCTGGATAACGATAATAGCCTTAATGAGAGAAAAAAGAAATTGTCAAACTTTATTTTAGTAACACTTGAGTTAAAGAATTACTTACCAGGAGCACATTGATTGCATTGACGAGCTCCAAAATTTGCCTTACAATGACATTGACCACGTTGATCACAAGCTAAAACAATGATTGAATTGTTTAAGAAAAATATTTCTTGCACGAAGAGAGAGACTTACCATCATAAATGACACCTGTTTGATCGCAATTGCATGGTGAACAGGTTGGATGTCCATAAAATCCAGCTGAACATTGTTCGCAGTTAGGACCAGCAAAATTTTGTTTACATACACATAAACCCACCTCTTTGTCACATATTTCGTTGGTTGTTCCTAAAATATAATCGTTTCTATTCTGGTAGGTTTATTGAGGTTTATCGATTTTGCAAGTACAATGATATCTTCTGAGTTTCTTCTGTCGGCGTTTTTCAAATCTCAGACCAGATAGTATATCTAATGAAATAGGGTTTAAAATCAGCTTACAACTTCCACTCATTCTACGTTTTTAGTAACTCATAAACAAACCTTCGGTATTGCAAACACACGGCAAACATCCTGGAAAGCCAAAGTGACCATTTTTACATGTATCACACGTTCGATTTTGATAGTTTAAACGACAGGGACATTGGCCAGTAGCTAAAAAACATGAACATGTGAAATTTGACGCATTGCGAAGAAAGCCATTTGGATTCAACTTCTTTATCAGAAAAAAGTGTAACTACAGCCTAGTCATAGTGCGCTTTTTCTGTCTCCATATGGTAGTGACATAGAAAAAAGTTTTTTCGTTGTAATCTCTTTTCCCCTCTGAAGGTATGTGAGAACGAGAATTACTCACTTATATCACATATATTTCCATCACTGCCTAAACGTTCACATTCACAAGGTTGACATTCAGGATAATTGTAATAACCTGGTGCACATGTATCACAAAAATCACCATCATAATTCATTTTACATACACACCGTCCGGAGTCAGGCAAACATTTATGATCAGCTGTGCCATTTATCGAACATAAACATGGCTTACATTCCGGATAATTATAGTAACCAACTGAACATTCATCACAGTTAATGCCCGAATATTGTGCTTTACATTCACATTTTCCTGTTCCCTCAGCACAATTACCCGTTGAAAATTTTAAATTACATTTACATTTCTGACAAACATCTGAATCCGATACTTTTTTTGTTATATTACGAAAGTAGCCTTTTACACCTAAAATCATCGAATTCCATTTTTATTTTAATTTACTGTATTGATGTTTTTTCACTTACATTTTTCACAGTTAATTCCATCTGTATTATGTTGACATTTGACACAACGACCACCACCCTCATAGTTTCCGTGTATATCAATACTTAAACTTTGACGATCAATGTTCTCATCATATTGGCATTCATTTGAATGTCCATAACACTGACATGGTTCACATTCAAAACCATCTTTTTCACGACTTTGTTTCCATTTTTTTTGAACAAATGGTGGACAACAGTATTGACAATAATCACCACATGTATTATGTCGACAGCGACATACCATTTTATTTGGCGTTTTTGGATCAGTTTTATCACAACTTTCCGCATGTCCATTACACACACAGTGGCCACCAAGAGCAATATCTTTTATCGAATAAAAGTACCGTCTTGTAACTGAATCATCACGCATTTGCGATGGTATCAAATGAGATTGTAAAGTAGTTGGACGAAGTAATCTTAGACGAACATTGGTAGCTCGTGTCCACTGCTGAAGTGTATCACTATAAGAAAAATTTTTTGCATTCGGGCGTTCGTTAATCAAACTGATAACCATTTCACCGCTATAAAAGAAAAATAACATTTGACTACGAATTTATTTAGTTTGTTAATACAAACCTTTCTAATGGTATACGACTAGCAAATTTTGTTTCACAAACAACATCATCATCATTAAGGAATGATCTATTAAAAACAGGTTCTATACCAAATATCGATCGACAGTCAAAGTCATTGGCAAAATAGAACCATGTTTTAAACGTTTTTCCATAATCTGTTGATCTTTCTAAAGCCCATACAGCTGGACGAGGTGAATTAGCCATTTTAACATAAACATAAGCCACATGATATTCTTGACCAAGATTCACCGTAACATTAACTCTCTGATAGTCAATACCACGAGATAACGGTGGTGACTAAAAACCAGGAGATAGTTAATTAAAAACCATCTCAAGCAAATTTTTTCATATCAACATGTCATTGAAGAAATAGGAATAAATCATTAATAAACACTTCGAAAGAGAGATCTCAAAATAATAGAAAACGTAGAATGTTCTTACTTGCCACCATCGATCAGTACCATCTATTGTATAATTGACACTATGAACTTTATCTGGTATATTTGGATCACATGTATCACAATATTGACCATATATGAGATTTGAATCTTTAAAATCTTTTTCATACGGTGATGAACCCGTTAATTTACAATATAATTCTTTTTTTTTTGTTATTTTTCCCGTTTTTTCATTAATAAATTCACCGCATGTTGCTGTTGCAGAAACAGTAATATGTTTTTCTCTGGCCAAATTTAGATAAGGTGGTCGAAGTAATTCAGCATTTATATAATGTAAAATAAACACGAAATATAGAATCTTTAAACTCATATTTTAATATTCAAAATAATAGTGTGACCATTTGAACAACGATTTATTTGTGTGTCTGATAAAGTACAATGTTCAATCTTCCCTCGAATATATATATATATACACATATACCAAAACTTTGGAGAATATACTACTATATGGCGTAAAACGAAATAAGAAAAAAAAGAAAAGAGATAAACGTACTACTCTATATGGGCCGTTTCACTTGCATAAACAGAATGGTTGTTCACATATCGGGACAGATGTATGAACGACGCTTTGACTTGAGTAATATTCATTCACTCTTATTTCTCTCATAGGTTTTTTTTTCTCTTTCTTTAACGACTGTTACTATAGATGATGTAAAAGATTCAATGAATGACCACATACAAAATGTTCGCTTTTCTTTTGACCATCAATATAAAACTCTAAATAATACTTTTAGTGTAATAACTAATGTGAACATTTTTCTTTCTTTCTGATTATGTTCGGTTATACTGGTACATGTACAATATATATATATAGACAAAATATATTTGAACGTGCTATACATGAGCTAGAATATCAAAGATAAGATTGTATTTTTATTTTTATTTTTTTATTTTTTTTTTTTGTTGTTGGTGAAATAAAATATCATGTTGAGAATAGTTCAACATATACAAAGAGATTTTTAAATTAACTCTTTTTCTCCCTGTCACACATCTATATATTTGATAATTGTGTAAAAGTACGCTAAAGTACTTGCGTTTTCATCAGTTAAACTCTATGACATCATATTTTTTCTTTTTTTTTGTCGTTTTTAGAAAAGATTGAATATTATGTAATTAGGTCAAATACGAGATTTCAATTGTTGATGCTACTAGACAATCGTAGACGATAGTTTCAAGAGCACTACACATTGGATTATCGTTAGAGATTGTGGTGTCTGTGTGTGTATGTGTATATGTTTGATCTGAGAGTGAAATTATGTCTGTTCAGTTTAAAACAACGTAAAACTAATATAGAATTGAGTGCGTATAAAAAAAAGTAATTCAACGGTAGCTCAATGAATTAAACTATGGAACAGTAATGCAAAAAACTTAATAATAATTCATGTTAAAAAACAAAAAATTTACGAAATATTGTTGATTTGTTTCATTCAAAAAACAACAACATGTAATTCATACAATTGTATTTTCACCGGTTTATATTTGTTAAAAAATATATTAAAAAATAAATTGAATTCAATTTTATAGTTGACATGTTTGACTATCTTCTATTAATTTTTTATTATCCACAAATGTGACACGTGTACGAATTGGTTTCATATTTTCAGTTGTTAGTGTTGGTGTTGGTATTGGTATTGTTGTTGATGTTAAATATTTTCCATCTTTTTTAGACAATAATAATGATGTTTGATGTTGACTAGTATTATATGTAGACATTGCCATTGTTGTTGTAATACGACTATTATTAATATCTCGTTGATTTTTAAAACAACATGAATAAAGTGCATAAAATTCACGACGAAAACTACGATTAATATAATTATAAATAACTGGATTAATCCATGCCGATAAAGATGTAATTAAATAAGATGGAATTAATAATACACGATAGACAAAATTGGCACCATCACGTGTTTTTAATATATTATCATTATGTTCAAGATAAAATTGAACAATTGATAATGGAAGCCAACTTAACATAAATACAGCGGCAACACAAATTAATAATTTTCGACTTTTATGAAAACGACGTTTTGTATGAGATTGTATTTTAGGATGATTATTATAAATATTTGTAGATGATGGACGAATTGTTTCTTCTATTAGTACAGTTGATTGTGGATTTGTATAATGTAATGAATATTTTTTATTATGTGATCGATGTTTTTGAGATAAAATATATCTTAAACGTGTAAAAATCGAAGAATGTGATACAGTTTCAATTTCACATATTTCTTTTTCTTTTATTAAATTATTATCTGTAGTTATTATTTTTGGTAGTTCATCATTACTTGTTAATTCATTATCAATATCAGAATGATGATTATGAGAATAAATTTTTGTTGACTCATTTGTTTTATAATTAAAACGTTTTGTTAAAGATTTTTGATCAATTTTTTTTCGTTGATTATAATATTTCATTCGTTCAATACGTCGTTTTAAAAATCGACTAATTGAATAACAACTAATAGATACAAATAAAAATGGAACCAAATATTGTACAGCTAAAATTGTATATGTATAGACTCTTGTTTTTAAACCTGGTTTTGTTATACAATAATAAATTTTTAATGTTTTACATGGTTTTTGTATCATTATCATTGTTTGATTATTATTTTGTTGTAATTGTTGTTGTTGTTGTTGTTGATCATAAGTATAATTTTTAATCATCATTATATGTAATGAATCAAATTTTGTTATATCAGATGGTGAAAATTCAATAACTGTACGTGAAAGATATTCTGGTATAGCAATTAATATTGATCCTAACCATAATAATATTAATGTAATAATAATACATTTACGATTAAATTTTTTTTTATTAACAATAACAAACCATCTTTCAACTGAAATAACAGCAACTGTAAAAGTTGAAACAAGAGCGGTTACAGTTGGTGTAAAATTAATTAATTTACATAAAAATGAACCAAATACAAAATGTTCAATTAATACACTTGTAATTGTCATTGGTATTGATACACATAATACAATTAAATCATTAATACATAAATTCATTAAAAATATATTTGTTATTGATCGTAATTTTTTTTGTTGAAAAAATATAAGACATACACTAATATTACCAAATACACCAAAACAAAATGGTAATAAATAAATTAAATAAATAACTATTGTAACAGTAAGCGAAAAACGTAATTTAATATCGGATGAAACATGCGATAATGAATAGGGTGACATAAGACATGGAGAATAATTTGTAAGATTATCAAATGTCATTGTTAATTATATATATTGATAGTTCCTAGAAAAAAAAAAAGAAAAAAATAGTTCAAATAAAGACTTTATATTATATAGAGATTATTAAAAATCACTTTTATAATAGATAGATAGATATATCGTTTTACTTACATATTTTTATTTAATTTGTAAAAAACATTAAAAAATTATTTCAATAATAATTTTATGTTAACGATCGTAATATCTTTATAGTAAATCATAGATCTACAAAAGAAGAAGAAAAAAAAAAACGGTTTATTTTTAACTTAATTATTATTATATACCGTGAATAATAATTCTTTTCTTCTCTTCTCATGTTGAATTTTGCATGAGAAGTATACTATAGATGAATTCACCAAAGAATAATACGTATATTTTCATTTGTCGCTTTTTCTTCTGAATATTTTGACATTATATATGAAGAAAATTAACGGTTAAACACTCTCTGTCTTATGCGCCATTGTGTCAAATATCAAATAGTCATTTTTTATTTATTTCATGATAGAAAGAATCTAACATAAATGTATTCTTATATCGGATTACAATTCTATATTCTATATAATTCTAGTTTATATGATAAAAAAATTATATTTACATTTAAATCATTAATTGACTAAAAATGTCGTATTATTTGAGACAAATTCTGTTTTGGACACGGAAATTAGTCGTTTTGGGCACGGTTTGTCAATTTCCGTGCCCAAAAAAATCTTTTGACTATTTTCGACACGGTTATTTGTTTGGAAACGGTAATTAACTGAAATGGGCACAGGGCGCTAATTTCCGTGCCCCCAAAACAGAAGACAACAATCAGCTAAACGCAGCTTTCTAACATTTTCCACTGTCAGCGCTTCTCACGAGAAAGGTGCTCATAAATGGATCCAAAATTTGAACAAAAATTGATTAGTGTACTAGTATGGCCATACACGTGTGGTTCCCTCCTCATCTCTGGCTACAACAACTGGAAACTTTGCTGTAGCAAAGTTTTGATGCTTTTTCCACTGCCAGGTTTGTCTCAATGTCTATGATGTGTTCATGCAAACAAACCTTGAAACAGTACGCCTACAAACATGCATTGGGACACATGATGTATTTTGGCTATTACACAGTGTCAGATCCCTCACAATTACAAGATTTGGAGAAACGACAAAGAGGACGTCAAAGAAAGTGAAAACAGCGCTGGCTCAGTAAATGTTCTCTTCTTTTTGAATAAATTCAAAAGAAATTAGACAGGTTCTGGTGTAACGTTGTGGAGACACAGCTTACAAGCATTCCTGAGCTTCAGAAAGGAAAACCGTGCCCAGATAAGCCGAAAGGTTTTTTTGGGCACGGAAACTGACAAACGGCTAATTTCCGTACCCAGAAAAATCTTCATCCTATTATTTGATCAAACACCTTTTACATTACATATTTCTCAACACAATTAATGATACAAATATTTTAATCAGAATGTCGGGAGGTATATTTATCTTCTTCTGTTTTTTTTAATGAAATATATAAGACTTTATCTTATCTTACCCATTGATGAATCTTAAGTATCTCGAACTTTTGAAAGAAAAAAAAAAACAATTTGTGTTTTTTTCTTTTTGTTATTTGATGAAAGATGACACTATTACGGATACATTATACCTGGATATTTTACTTTGATTAATATCTCCACTATTAACAGTAGTATAATTATAAGTAAAATAAAAATTGTTGAAATTATAATGTCTTTTAATGTCTTATATTAAAAACTCACCTGTTATTTTTATAATAATTTTCAAATGTAAGATTAGTTTTTTGCATCCGAAAACAAGAAAATACCAATCAATTATATTCTAGAGAAATTTATCTCGATTATATAAGAATTGAAGTGGAAAATCTCGAAATATTTGTGTTGAACTAAATAATAAATAAAAGAAACTCAGACATGATCATAAAATTTGTTTCTTTTTCTTATTCAAGGTAAAAACATTTTATTTATGTTTGAAATATATTTTATGATAAAATCTGTCAAGAACAAACACATTTATCTATCTAAATTAGTCTCGTTAAACACTGTACAATTTCATTTTTAAACATCTAAACGGTCTTCAATGCATTAAAAATGAATATTAACGCACGAAGTTTTTCTATTGTGCTCTGCTACTTTCAGAAAAAGAAAAAACAAAATAATTAGAATTTGAATGTTCGCTTGAAGTTACACAAAAAAA